TTCATCGACTTTTTTTGAAAAATGTGCCAACTGATCCGAAACTTCTGGGAGTCTTGTGGGTGTATTTTAAGATTGAATTTTTAATTTAGGCAATTTAAAAACCTCCCGAAGCCCCATTTCCTTTCATTTGGCAGCAGCTCGGAAAGGTTTTAACCCTCTTGACCTGGTTTTCTTAGGGGCATTCTGGGCATTTCACAGCGCATTTTTTTTGTTTCCGTCTATGTTGCCGGATAGAAAACTTGATTTTGGGGGGGGGTTCTTCTTTGAGTTTTTCCAAAAAAGTCTGTTTCGATGCCCGTTTTTACTCTCAATTGCAACAGCAATGTGCTGACAGCAACAGTAACTGTCATGGCCCTCGTCGGGCCGCCGCGACATCGTTTCTTCTTTTAGGCTTTTCTCCCTCATTCGGACTCCAAATGGGGTGATTCTTTTTTTGAATTTTATTATTTTTTTTTTCATCTATCCAACAGTATACTCGGTTGCACCCGATATTTTTAGATAATTACCAGTTTACCCTTTTAGCTTTATTTTTTCATTTTCTTTGTTTTGTCGTTTCTCCTTCGTCTGGATTGCAAATCATGCGATTCTTGAGTCCATATTAATTAGTTTTTCGATATCTTTCCACTGATGTGCCCAGTGGTGCCTAAATTTATATTTTCAAAAAATTACCATTTTGCCCTTAGGGCTAAATTTGTCCAGTTTTCATTTTAATTCACTTCCGCTTTATTTTCTTTGAGTTCCGTGACTTCGCGGGAAGTCACGCATTTGTCTTGGGAATGATGTACATTCCTAGAGACGTCGCTTCATGTAAAATGACAATTTTGCCCTTGGGGGCTTGTTCGGTCCTTTTTCTGACCTTTCGTTTCCGCATTTGTTCTCGTTGAGATCCGTGACCTCATGGAAGGTCACTTTGGCTTCTTAGAGATGCATTGCATCTCCAGAGTCTTGTTTTCTCTTTTTGCTTCCGCATTCGGATCCGTTATCCGGTCAAACTCCGATTCATCACAGGACGCACTAACTTGAAAAATCAGGGCCGTCACAGACAAAAAAGACAATGTTAATTGTAAGAAAAGTATTGTAAAATTGAATGAGATAATATGTTATTTAGTTTTTTAGGAGAGACGAAAAGAGTGTTAGTAAGGTTTTGTAATTTAAAAACTTCTATAATAGGCTTGTCTTTTTTCTTTCGCGTCTTCCATCCATATTTAGAGAGATTAAAATTTGTAAAGGAGGAATGATGACACATCCATCCTCTTTTCTCTTCTCTCCTTGACTTCTCTCTACCAAACGAAAAAAATTTGTATCTTCCTTTCTATCTTTCCTCCACCCCTTTTCCTTCAGTCCTACCTAGCGGAGGCTTAATATAAATACTTTGTTTAATTGACCCTCCAAATATATATATATATAAATGTATGCAAGCATGCGAGTTTATCAGTACATATTTGCATGCACAATGTGTTTGAAGAGACATTAATTAAAGATGGGAAAATGGGAGAAGTTTGGTCTGGCATGATTGATTTTAATCCTTTGTAATTTTTGGGAAATCCTCAACTGAGAATTTGTAAGGATAGTTTGCCCAGTTAAAAAAAATGAATAGTATTTTTTCATTTTCACAACAAATTTTTAGAAAATATGTTTTTATTTTTGAAAAACGATGACTTTAACTCCATAAACTTGTAAGTTACGCTCCAAAATTCCATATACTTGTAATTTTCTCTTAGGGTCCGTTTTATTAGATTGAAATCGATGTTGGAAAATGAAAGTGAAAGAAAGTGAAGTGAATGAAAGGAAAATACATTTTCTAGTATTCATTTGGTTAGTATGAAATTTTTTCAAGAAACTTGTGAGAAAATCACGTTTCATAGTTTGAATAACATGAAAGTTAATAGAAAATATTATGATTTACCAAAATTGTCCTTTTTTATTAAATATAATAATAGGTGTGAATAAATTTATATTTAATAACTATTTTTATTTTTGAACAAATAAAAGTAATATAAGAATCTAAATAATAAAATTTTGTAAGATATGTAGAGAGAGAGGTAACTGTTATAATATTATTACCAATGATCATGCTAAACACAATTTATTTTAGAAAGTGAAAATGGGGGTATAATTGAAATTTCATATAGTTTTCTTAGGAAATCAAAATTTTCCTATATTTTTTGTTGGAAAATTTTGTGGGAAAGTTGGGTAGTTATGAAAATTTATTTTTCCACAAAATTTTTCTTTTCTTGCTGACTAAACTCTTAAAAAATTTTAAAAAATTTCATTTCTTTTCCTTTCTTGCTATTTCCATATAACCAAACTAAGCCTTAATAATTTGTACCATGCTAATTCTGGAGTGAAAACTTTTCCTTGGAGTTGAAACTAGGAGGAAAAAAATTAGGGCCTCTGCATGTCATAATATGTGAAATCCAAGAAACCACTGAATATTATTTTTAATTTGTACCTACTTTTGTGGAAGGTGTGAAGTGCCACAAATATATATATATATATATATATATATATCCATGGCTGTAGTTTCTTACTCTCTCTTATTTTAATATATTTTTATTGATATTTTCCTGACTCTTCAATATGCTAGAAGTTTCTTACTCTATCTTATTTTAATATATTTTTATTGATATTTTATTGAACTATTATTATTATTTTTTAATGCTTTATTTATAGTATTTATATTCTGCTACAACTAAATGTTTCGATTTAACTTCATTATATTTAATTAAAAAATTCTCATTCCCTGCTTATATAATGTGTTTATTATTCCATGCTGCTTTTTTGTTTAATTCGTTCCTTTCATGTTTGATTTTTTAAGATATTTGTTCTTTTATATGCTTTGCCTAATTCTTATGATTCCGTTATTTATATTTGGAAGTCTCTTCCATGAAGATTTTTGGATGTTCCATGAAGATTTAGGATTAAGAATACTAGAAATTAAGAAATTCTTTAGAATTAAATTTAGAATAAAACATCATTTAGTTCAACCAAATTAATATATATATATATATATATATATATATATATATATATATATAAAATAAAAAATAAAAAATAAAAAATAAAAAATAAAAAATAAAAAATAAAAAATAAAAATCACGAATATCATCTTCCATTAACGAAAAATTATTTCATCCCAATACGTCATATTATTCTAATACAAACTCCCATGAAAGTCACCTTTGTTTTTATAAAGAGTCATAAACTAAAACTCTTTTTCATTCTAATTTCTTTTTCTTTTTCACTCTTTTTCTTTACTGCTAGGACCAATTGACTAAATTTAAAACTCTATGCTGCATCAAGCAGTGCAAAAACAATTTTTTGCTAGATTCTTTCGTAATTTGAGTGAAGTTTTACAATCCTAGACTAAACACTCTCTTTGAATAATAAATTATCAATATTAATAATAAATTAATAAACGTCTATCTAAATTAAAAACTAAAAGTTGTGTTTATTCAACCAACACAATAAAAAACTCATAACATTCTTGTATATAAAGTTTTTCAATTTACAAATAAATTTAACAATGACTACAATCTCTTTCATCTATATTTTTTTTTAAGCTTCTCATGTTTTTTTCTTTCACAAAAATCTACTACTCTCTTATATATTCTCCTGAAAAATTGTAGTTGTCTCTTAATTTATGAATAAATCGTAATACTTATTTTATATCATCTATTTCATCTATTTTTAGTCTCTTATATACTTTTCTTTCACAAAAATCTATTTACGTACTATCGATGAATTTTAATAGTTTGGAAAATAAATTACGGTGTGTCTAAACAACTTTATAGGTCTCTAAATAATATGTTATCATGTATACTGTATTCTTTTCAATCATATAAAACAAAATAATAATAATAATAATAATAGATATAAGACACGCAGTTATAATTATTTAATTTTTATAAGTTTTGAAATCTATTGATATGAAAATATATAGTATTTATAAACGTTATTGTTATATTATAATGCATCATATGATTTGATATAATAAATCTCTTGTATAATTGATTCAATAGCCTTTTTCATTACTTTGCGAAAGAAAATTATATTCTTCAATTGTTCGGCTAAAAATACCACAAGAATATTAAGATTTTCATAAAGTTTTGCATAAAGGGACTTTGAAGATGATGGAAAGTGTCGAAATGATTGACTTAGTGAGTTTTAATTCTTATTTATCTTTGAGATTAATAGTCAAATAGTGCTCGGATGATGAATGATAACTTAAAATTTTGAACTTATTTTACTCTAAAATTATAAAAATACATAAACCAAATTAATTAAGCACTTTTATCTGTAACTTACCGTCAATTATTTACCATCAATTATTATTTACCAACAGGCCAATAACCTAGCGGTACCAAGTTCCTACTTCTCAAAGAGAGGTCAGGGATTCAAGCCTTAGTGGAAGCATGTACGTGTGAGGACCAATTAGGAAAAAAAAAAAAAAAAATTTATTTTAGATTTTTCTTTCTCCATTTGATTTCCAATTTTTTTTTTTTTTTTTACCTGAGCTATCTATCTCAAAATATGATTAAGTTATTATAATTACGTGCATTCCACGTTATTTTATCTAGTATATATGTATAGATATCAAATGCATGCTTCAATCCCTCATTGAGTTAAAAGATGAAACTCAACAAGTAAATATTTTTTTGAAATTTTTTTTACAACGACACAAACCGAGCCTAATAATACACCAATCCATTTACCCAGAATGGTAGCGGGGGATAAAATCCCATCAAGTGAAAAGACATGAAGAACAACTACTTTGTTTCCAATACGTTTGGGGGTATTTCTTCTTGTGATTTGTTAACTCACCTAAAATAAATTAATGCAAAATTAATCAAAGAGATGGGAGTGCTGCACAAATGCTAAATGATATTTATGCATCCATATGAACATATTTTCAACTCTTTAGGGTTGCATCCATACACATTCTTTGTTCAAGCTTATTATCCATCCATACACATTCTTTGATTCAAACCACAAACTAATTATACTAACATGCCCATCATTTAAACAATGAAAGCGAAAAACACTGAATTTCAATTTTTTTCTGCATAAAAAGTTACGAGGAAAGAAATGGATTTGCATCATATACATATAACATGTAGTGACTACGACTCAGCAAAAGGCACATTAATTCCCTGTCCAAAAATTTCGATCCACCGTGCTTAAAATCATGCACACCCATTCCGCCCAAACTTCGATTGAACTATTGGGCATATTATCTCTTTCCTGGTCCCTGGTGAAAACGAAGCTTTTTTGCTAGTGAAAACAGCCAAATATAATGAGATTCTGTTCCTAAGTATCGGAATTTCAGTTTTAGGGATTGTGAAAATTTCCATTCTGATATAATGAGTTGGACTGCCCATGATCGTAGCAATTTTTCTTGGTCCTGGCCTTGTCAAGACGTGCTTTGCGGACTGCCTCTTGAATACGTCTCTCATGCTCTTTAAGCATTTCTTCCATGTTTCCACCAGGAGGCATAAGTGGTCCAGAGTAATGGATCCTATTCTGCCTTGGTACGTAACCCTGAAATCACAAGATAAAAGAACTCATATTTTGTAGATAACCAGAACTGCAAAATGAAATAAATATACAAATATGCACTACAAAAACAGGAAAACATCTGATCACAAGAATGTCAAACTTTGTTTTTATACATGCATCATATCCTTCTAAAATGAAAAATTAAAAAAAAAAAAATACATAAATAAATAAAAATAAAGATCGACACAAGAGTACTTAACTCACAATCAGTTCCAATTTGACCTCATCGGAAAATTTCAATTCATCTCCCTTTTCTGGATAATAGACTTAAAATATAGAGAAGGTCCACCCAGCCATAAAATTTAGCAATTTCCCACAACCTTTGGAGTCTTCCTAAAGTTATATCCGTAAATTTAAAGGAAAAGTAAAAAAAAAAAACAGAAAAGGGAAGAAGAAGGAGAGAGAGTGCCAAGACATCCCTCCACAATTGCAGTCATTCATGAACTGTGGAATGATACTATAAGCACTAGGTCAAATGTAATGCAACATTTGTAATCCAAGAACGAGGGAACATGCCAAGACATCCCTCCACAATTGTAGCCTTGCAAGAATTGTGGAATGATACATTAGGCAGCTTTAAATGTAATGCAACACTTGTTACCCAGGAAAATGTTGACTTCTGTAATAGGTGATTTTTTAAGAAAAATAAAAGCGAGATGATTGAAAGAAATTTTAGTTTTATGGCTTTAAGTCGCAACTCCTTTGCTTTGGACTAGTTCTATAGCTCTGCTTTGGACTAGTTCTATAGCTCTACTTTGAACATATATCCTCACAACGAAAGTGCTGAAACATCAAACACTAATCTCATAAATTAAAGTGATATTAGTTTTGAAATAAGTCTCAAGTTCTACTTCCATTAAATTAGTGGTTTCTTGATTCGCCAAAATGGATTAGTAGAATCCATGTTTTTGATCCCCAAAGAGTAGGGAAAAAGGATTAGAAGACGTTAAAACAGTTTCAAAGGAATGTTCCAGCACTTGAAAATGGTCATTCTAAAGGACAAATATCTGATTCTAAGCAAAATGTTCTGTCATGTAACGTGCTTTAGTTTCTCACACTTCAATCCTAGTGTCTCTTTTATAGGAATAAAAAGTTAATACATCTCAACGGGTTAAAATAGTTGTATATGTAATTTCTTGTTAAGCAAAATAGGTTTGCATGTAATTGTCTTCAAAGGATCTATAATCTATATACTAAAGCTAGCAAAGAACAGAAGATGAGCTTGTCACCGATCATCACATTAATCTGAATCTATCACTAGAATGTATATTCATGTCATTTATAGATAGTTAAATGATGCTTTATAGGATATATAAGGTTAACAGATGAAAGTGCATACAGATGGATAAGGGAATTGAAAATTAAGGTATCAGCATCATGGCAAGTTGTCATATGGACCAGATGACCATAAAAGAAGGTAACAAAGTAGTGAAATAATATGAAATATTTTCCTGGCAAAGAAGAAAAAGAAAAACAGAAGAAAAATACAGCGAGAAATAGTTTCAAGTTGTGGAGGCTGTAGATTTCATGCCCAAGGTTTCCAGGTTCTTGTTTAACCTTATAATTAAAGAAAGCTAAATAGAAGTGCTAAAAAAGTATAGCCAATTTTTTGAGATAGTTACATACCGTAGATTCCTTGACAGGGACCCTTTCATTCTTCTTAAAGTGAGTGTTGGACATGTCGGCTGGTGCCTGGGGCATGTGAGATATCTGTCTCCTCATCTCGGAACCATTTTGTGAAGACACAGTTGTCCGTCCCAGACCGACATACCCATCACCCTCCTTCACCTTCTTAGTCCATGAATATCCAACCGCACAGGGATGAACCATTGAATTAGAGAGTGAGAACCCATTATTTGGAATTCTGGGTGGCTCGATGGGGAAGTCAGACTCATCATTCTCAAGGGGATAGTATTTTTCACTGATGCTTTTGGTATTTGACTGTCCCTGCCATGTGCATGTCAGAAAAGTGTTGATAGGGATATGAAACATGAAACTAAGATAGATGAATATTTAATCAAATGCCAGTAAAAAGACCTGTCCCTGAGCATCATATTCTGGAGAAACTTCCTTGCTTTCCCTTGGACCCCTTCTTACAGATTCAGGTCCACGTCCTTTCACAGCCTCAGCCTTTTTCCTGGAATGAAACCAGTGAATGCATACTAATATTACCAAAAAAATAGCATAGCGTCATTACACTGGAAACGGATTATCTTTCTATCAAAATTTGAAATTAATTATGTTTCCTTTGAGGCTTCTACCCAAAATAAAAGCCTCCAAGAAAGGAAGCTGTCAAGAGTGGCAAACACCTTCAGACCCTTCAAGTGGTACCAAATTGAAGAATTATTTCAAGTACATGCAGAATGGAATCAGGCAATGTCAAACACAAGATAGGTATTTAAGAAATAATAAATATATTAACTACAACCAGCAACAGGAGTGACACATACCAAATTGACAGTGATGCAAAAATGTGTGGAAAAACAGAAAAATAAAATAAAAAACCAGGACTGGGGCAGTGACGAAATAATGGTATATGCCTTGACTAAAACAATGGCCCTTGAGAGAATAAAATAGCAAAGTATGAAACGTAGCCAACACCTTAAGTGACTAGTAAAAAAGGCAGTAAAAAGAGACAACAGCAGAACCTGGGACAAGGACAGGACTTGTGCATATAAATATTAATAATTGTTGGAGGTGCTTCATTTTCTATTTCTCTCTTCACAGGTTTATCATACCCTACTCTATACTCTACTCGAATCGAATCTTTGCAACTCACCTCGGACTCTCGACAACTTCGTATTTAGTTTCAAGTTGGACACTTGAGTTAAATCTCTGTGCACAACTTGAAAGGGGGTGTTGAAGAATAATTATAGGAGTGATTTAAGCGTTGACAGAATATTAAAGTTGCTATACTTGGGTAACAAATTGTTGCCATATTTGTATTTGACTTCCTGTGTAATTCCTTTATTATTAAATACTTGTAGAGCAAGAAATTTCTATTCTCTAGCTACAAGTCTTCCCTAATTCACCTATAAATAGAGGTCGTTATTGTAAACAAAATTAAGAGAGAAAATAATAAAGATGATGTAGCCCTTCGGGCTTTGTGCGTGTATCCTTGTGTGCTTCATTTTCTATTTCTCTCTTCAATTTTGACAATAATTATATATTTATGCGTGTGTGTATTAGTAATGGAAGGTGTCCTCACTCCTTCAAGGATGGAACTAATCCTTTCGGATAGCCACAAATATCAACACCAACCCATGGATATGAGGTAAACCAGGGCAAAGGCTTAACAACTCCAGGAATTGAATACAAGACCTGTGCCAAGCCAAGGGGCATGTGTATAAGTAATGCTACAATGCCTGATCGGTTTTTGGAGCAACTCCGATAAATAGAATCCAACAAGGACTCTTTGTTAGGTATAGATAAGGCACATTCTCTCTTCTTTTGAAGTGATCAGTCGGTAGCAAAGACTGATCAGCAAGTTTATCTTTTTCCCTTGTGTATATATATACGCATGTAAAATATTTATAGATATTATTCAATTCATTAAAATCCTGCAGAGTTTGAAGAACTGAAAGAAGAAACTGTCAACCCATTAAACATAATGAAGCCTTCACTCAATCACAAATCTACGACTCTTGGAATCTGGGGCACTTAAGAGTTCCATTTATTGCACTGATGACTCGATGAATTGGCCATCTTGGATCTTGATTGTACCTAACTAATTTACAGAAAGTAAGAACCCAGACCACAGAATGATGTGGAAGGGAAAAACCACTATAAAAAAATACACAAGTCAATGCACCCCCTTGTACCTCAATGCAATTTTTTTTTCAGCATTATGAGTCTCAAGAATGTCACTTATCCAGGTGAATGATAACATGGAGGCCTAGATAGAGAAACATGCCTTCAGAAGATGATTTGTGTTAAATTTGAGTTACTTAACTATTCAAAATAATAAAAGAAAATAGATGTGAGAAATCCTGTTAATGGAGAATTAAAGTGGGTGTCACCAACCATGACATGTAAGCTTTATTTATCAAGGCATCTTATTAGGAAGCAGCAAGGGTAATACACGTTGCTGATTTTAGACTAAAGGGTACTCAACCAAAAGAGTATAATCCTAAATTCCTATTTTTGACATGTTGATGGAGATCAATGGTGTATAAAAGGAGCCAAAAGGAGGATTCGAAGATTCGAGCTGGCATAGGTAGATAATATGGGTCCACATGGAGTTTGAATAATTGGGAGATTTCGTCAACTTTTAGTTACTTTAATTATGCTATTAGGTAAGTATTGATTGCCTCAATTATGGAATAATCCTAGAGTCAAATATTGATTACCTCAATTATGGGGTGATTACTTTTATTATGTTAGAGTCAAGTATTGATTGCCTCAATTAGGGGTAATCGAAGGGTCATAAGATGCTATAAAAGGGGTAGAATGCAATCTTGGTGAATCAGTCAATGAATGAATAAAAAATATCCTTTGAGATTTCTTTGTGAGTAATTCACAAATTCTGAGGGTGTGAGGCCTTCTCTAGGTGTGATACGTAGGCCCTGCTGGAGTGATTCCAATAGGTTTTTTCTTGTTTTCAATCCTATTCATTTGAACTTTCAGCCCAAAACACTTATTTGCTTGCTTCTATTTGAGTTTGTTCTTGTCCTACATCAGTTTTTGGTATCAAAGCCTAAGTAGACATTATGTTTACACAGTCGGGAAACGAAAGGTTGGATAATAATCAAGAGATTGAGCTGTTGTCACATATTCTGGAACAACTTAAAGGGCTGAATACTCAATGCGATAAGATAGGAGCTCGAAGTTCGCAGCCTTCTAACAAATCAGTAGCCCTTAAAGAAGAATATGCATTTGGTACTAATGATGACAGAAACCACGAGCAACAACAGCCTTTACACTCCCAGCAAAGGCGTGATTTGGAGGCTGACCTACCACTACATCCCATGTTGGAGTTTCCAAAAAAGCTGTTAGAGGCAAATCATCATGAGACACATGATACTGCTAGAGAGATTACGAAGAAGTTGAGTGATGGAAATTGCAGCACTTGGACAGCAACAATGCAGCCAAATGATGGATCAAAACCATCTTTGTCTAACATGGCTGATCCTGAAGGAAAGAGTACTATGGCTAGTGTAACGGGTGGGCGCTTGCCCATTTACCCAAAAGTTCGAACTATTGGATAGTGCTGCATACCCACCCATTTATACCCAATCACTTTCCCATCCGATTCCGATGTGGGACAAATGACCCTTGTTACATTCTCCCCCACCCAAACTCGCAACGCCCTCGTTGCGGTTCGGGCCATCCTGCCTACCCGGGATGCTAGCCCGAAAGCCTTCCGGGCCGGGTGCTTGGCGTGACACCGGATCAAGAACTAGGTCTGGCTCTGATACCAACTGTAACGGGTGGGCGCTTGCCCATTTACCCAAAAGCTCGAACTATTGGATAGTGCTGCATACCCACCCATTTATACCCAATTATTTTCCCATCCAATTCCGATGTGGGACAAACGACCCTTGTTACAGCTAGCAAGGTTAATGAGAACCTGCTTGATCATGGAACCTGCAACACTGATGATCCAGAAGAGGATGAAGAGAATGTTCCATTCATCTCTATTGGGAGGCACATCCTCACAGCCCCTAATGTTGAAGACAATGATGGGTGGCTCACCTCTAATTTTCAGATGCAAGTTCATCCTGGAAACCAAGCTCAGAAGCCTATTATTGATGGCGATGGCTGCACTAGTGTTGTCTCCACAGCCATGATTAAGCGCCTCAAATTTTCAATCCAACCATGTCTACAACCATTCAAAGTGGCTTGGGTAGATGGTACTTTTATTCCAATGATTTATTCAAAGGAGAGGAAGTTTAACACAATTATAATTCTTGGCCTTATTCGCAAGGACTTGCTGAACCTTACAGAATACAGCATGCACATGGCAAAGGTTCTTGATGTTGGGAGGAATAAAGGTGCTCCAGAGTTTGCAATCTCTCTTCGCCATACTTTTTTGGTTCAGGAATCAAGAGTAAGTGTATTAGCACTTCCCAATTTGGTTGAGGCCTTGGCAAAGCTTGCAAATAACCCTAGATCTCGCGAGTCTTTACAACTATTGATTGAGATTGCAAGTAATTTTGCTGCTAATGTCGCAGTTCTTGCTGGATTTGCTGCTTGCAAAGGTGAAGGGTCAAGCAATCCAGAGAAAAGAAGGGCTTTGACCATGCTATTACAAGCAGGGTCAACTATATCAATGCCCAATCTGAGGAAGCAGATCCTACCGGTTTTAGTGATCAGATTTATGCATTATTTGCAGAATGGTACCAGATATCCGAACTTCATGGTACAACTGATGTATTCTGTACTCACTTTATTTCACAGTTGCAGCAAAGTGGATGTCAAAATGAGGTTGATGAGTCCGAAGGTGATTCTGTTCTTGTGTTTCCTAGACCAAGTCAAAGACATGATGCCATATTCGTTGTTGTGGATCGTTTTTCGAAACTAGAGCACTTCATCTCTTATTCTAAGACTTTCAATGCTATCCACATTGCCAAACTTCTTTTTCAAGACATTGTCCGGCTTCATGGGTTGCACAACACCATTGTTTCTGATCAAGATATAAGTTTTATGAGTTATTTTTGGCAGACATTATGGAAGTTGCTGAATACAAGGCTGAAAATTTCTTCTTTTCACCCACAAACTGATGGCCAAACCTAAGTCATTAATCGTAGCTTGGGTGACTTGTTTCATTCTCTTGTTGGTGACCATATTACTAGTTGGGATCAAATTCCTCCTATTGCTGAATTTGCATACAACAGTTCTGTAAACAGGACCATTGGGCGCAACCCCTTTGAGATTGTGATAGGCTTACATCCTAGGAAGCCAATTGACTTAGTACCTTTACTAACTGAGGCACACCCTAGTGCTGAAACTTATGCTTTAAGTAAGCATATCCAAGATATTCATGCTGAAGTTCAAAGGAAGATTGTAATAAGTAATGAGAGTCACAAAGAACAAGCTAATTTTCAGAGTGGTTATCAGAAGTTACATGACCGCCCACTTTTTTATTGTACTTGGATTGCTGATAGTGAGTTCCAATATCTAGCTTCCGACCTTTATGAGCAATTTCATCCCTTTAACTCATCGGAATCGAGTTTTTCCAAGCCGGAGAGAATTGATGGAGATCAGTGGCAGAAATCTTTAAAGGTGTATAAAAGGAGCCAAAAGGAGGATTCGAAGATTCGAGCTGGCATAATATGGGTCCACATGGAGTTTGAATAATTGAGAGATTTGGTCAACTTTTAGTTACTTTAATTATGCTATTAGGTAAGTATTGATTGCCTCAATTATGGGGTAATCCTAGAGTCAAATATTGATAACCTCAATTATGAGGTGATTACTTTTATTATGTTAGAGTCAAGTATTGATTGCCTCAATTAGGGGTAATCGAAGGGCCATAAGACGCTATAAAAGGGGTAGAATGTAATCTTGGTGAATCAGTCAATGAATGAAAAAAAAATATCCTTTGATTTCTTTGTGAATGATTCACAAATTCTGAGGGTGTGGGGCCTTCTCTAGGTATGACACCTAGGCCTAGGTTTTTTCTTGTTTTCAATCCTTTCTCTCTACTAACTGCTCTTGAACGCCAATCCTATTCATTTGAACTTTCAGCCCAAAACTCTTATTTGCTTAGTTCTATTTGAGTTTGTTCTTGTCCTACATCACATGTGTTCAAGTGTGAGCACAGCAAGAAATTTCCAGGTATTTAACCAATTCAACTCTTAATAGAAATTATTTTGGCTTTCAATAATGAAAAAAAAATAAAAATAAAAATTAGCAAGCTGTCGTTATCATTATCTGCATATGAATGGGTCTACCACAAGAATTCTCCTTTTCCATTTTATTTTTTATTTTTTTATTTATTATTATTTTTTTTTATCACAATCAATGTCTCCTATTATATTTAATTTTTTAAAATCATATCTGACTACTCATTCCCAGGACTTCTGGCAGCCTCTTTGTCTCTTACCTTCTTCTAGGCAATTAAATATATCTTTTTTATTGATGATGTATCTGGGTCTCCTTTGAAAACATTAGCAAGTCCTTCTCAATATAAGATTTCGAATAACAGATTTATCCTTCACATAAAGTTAGCTAGGGGCATCAGATGGCATACCTTCTTACTTCTTCATCTCGAAGCTTGACATCAAATTCCTTGCTAGGGGGATATTTTGGTAAACTAGATGGATCGCAGGGGAGAGGATTTTTCGTAAAAAACTGAAGGAAACAATCAGGATTAAGATATAATTAAATATCTGGAAATGAAATTGTTAGTATATAAAATTCTAAGCCAAGAGGTACTATCAAATCTGCACTACCAGCAGATCAAACAAGAAAAACTAGATGGATCGCAGGGGAGAGATTCGTAAAAAACTGAAAAAGAAAAAATCAGGATTAAGATATAATTAACTATCTGGAAATGAAATTATTATATACAATCATGAACCAAGATGTACCTAATACCGAATAAAATCTGCTAGAAAGGATAGCCACATAATTGCTCACTCCATATTGATCGTTTATTTATTTGATAAACATCCTAATTATAAGAGATGTCTAAACAAGTTCTTTAAAAAAATATTTAGGAAAAAAAAGATAGTTCTTAAAAAATATAGTGGTCAAAAAGTATTAAGTGTGTGTGAATATATTTATATATATTTTTCCCCCAGGTAAAGTGGATTTTTGTTATAGATATAGACAATATAGTACAAAAAGCACAAGGGTATATAAACTTGGAAAACCAGCCTAACCAAAGACGCTAAAGAAAATAAACAAAAGAAAACAAGCCCAAACCAAAACAAAATAATCAAGAAGCTAATTGCAGACCATAGTGTGTGTGAATATCTAAATATATATTTGCAAATAAATTATATAGACACTTGTTTGTTTTACTTTATTTAGTTAAAATGCTTATCATTTTAGAGTTTCAAAAGTAATCCTTTATGTATAAAAATTTAAACAATATCTCTATAACAATTTAAAATAAATGTAAAGATTTCTTAGCTTCTGTTAGAAGAAGAATATCATTATAGGAGTGATTTAAGCCCTTAAATCACTCCTTGACCGGATATTGATATGAGTGAATCATGAGAGTCATTTTAGGAATCTTTCCTATTTCGTATTTATCAAAAAAAATAAAAAATAAAATAAAATAAAATGTTAGAAGATGTTATATTTGGAGAATATCATTAAAATCACTCCTATAATGATATTCTCCAAATATAACATCTTCTAACAACTTCCATTCTTTTCCCAAAAAACTATGTAGTATACCTTTTTGTATTTTAAATTATTATTAAAATTTTGTATCTCCTCATCACTCCTTGACCGGATATTGATATGAGTGAATCATGAGAGTCATTTTCGGAATCTTTCCTATATCATATTTATCAAAAAAGAAAAAAAAAATGTTAGAAGATGTTATATTTGGAGAATATCATTAAAATCACTCCTATAATGATATTCTCCAAATATAACATCTTCTAACAACTTCCATTCCTTTCCCAAAAAACTATGCAGTACAACTTTTTGTATTTTAAATTATTATTAATATTTTGTATCTCCTCACATAGAAAAAACAAAATCTTACTTGTAATTCAAAAATATTTCCTCATGCTTATGAGAGAAGTTTTATTATTGCACCAAGAAATAATGTTTAGCATATGTACATATATTGAAAGTGTTTTATAAATGGACATATTATATCTATCTATATAATAGCATAAATGCTCTCGAGGCGCTTTATTTGGACCAAAATTTAGATTTTACCGCTTTCTCACTCCCCCTCTATGTGACTTAGATAAGGCCCTTTGTTTTGTAGGAAACTTTCTTATTTTCTAAATCTGATGCAGTAACATGTCATAGCCTGACTGAAAACATGATTCTTGTTTATTGCAAAAAGGCTAAATTCCTGGGAGAGGGAAGTCTCAAAATTACCTCACTATGAACTGCAGAAGCAGCAGTACCCCGCTTCTCTGGTTCTATCGCAAGAAGGGTGTCAATAAGAGCCAAAGCTGAAGAAGGGAACTCTTTGAATGTCTCAGAAACACACCGCTTGTAAGGATGCTGAGGTTTGAAAATAGTAGAATGTGGCAATTTTGATTTCCTCCAGTAGTCCTCAGAAGGTGAGCCACATAGCTTGAAAATTTTATGCATTTGCTCGACCTGCGAATAGTTTTGGATCATTGTTAGTTAGAGATCTGATGTTCAGTCTTTAAGATCCATCTGATAGAAGGAAAGATCAAACTAGACCTAGTGTAAAATTTTCTATTCTTACACCCCACAATACCTTTTTGTGTGATTCACCTTTTCTCAACCCACGTGTTGGAAAAGAATGCCCCCTGCTTGTCATGTGCACTAAAAGTAGAGCTGATTTGACACTGACAACCGTTCCATTGGTATTTATATTACATTACAGTTTTTATAAGGAAAATTTTCATGAAAAAATTTTAATTTATGGATCAGACACCTACCCAATTAAGTTGATATTTAGCATGCATGACAAACCCAATAAAACATCTAATCAAATGATGAACTTGGAAAAAAAACTCAAAAAAAAAAATTAAATAAATAAAAAAGGTTTAAGAATAGCTATTCTTACCCTAGGTATAAAAATTGATCCCAGCTCCAAGCAAATCAATATCAAGTAATTCTGGATCAACTAACACATGAAATTAAACTAGCATCCAAATACAACTACAACTGCTTAGGGAACAATCCTATGAACATAGATAACGGTCACTCCAACCCCTCATACAGAAAGCATAGTGCAGCAATGATGTATGTCAAACCAGTTTGAAGAAAACCAGTATAAAAAGAGCCATTTGAATTTTCATTGTATAATATGGTGAAAAGATTAATTTTCAAATAGAAAAGAATGAAAAAGAGAATTCACGTGGCTGACCCCATTCATATGGGATTAAGGCAAGGATGATGATGATGATGATACTCATAAGGTGGAAACCAGAAAGAATTTTGAATTCAGGAACCTTCCTGATGAAGTATGAAAAACTGGAGTAGTTAGCAGTAACATACATAATCTGGGAGAAACTGAAATGATTTTGATAAGAATCAATAACTGATCTTAAATTGAAGTTAGCAGAAACAATAAAATTTGGCAAGCAATTGAAACAAGTTTGATAAGTTTTATATAAAGTTTTAGTCAGAATTATATTGCAAATAGTTTGGGAAAAGCTAAGTATGTTGAAGAATAAAACGAAAAAGACTCAAAACAAGAAAAAGGTTGTCCATCCAGAATTGATGAAGAAAGTTAAGGAATCATCTTCAGTACTAGCAAAACAGGGAACTATATTGCAAATAGTTAGAATTATAGATCAAAATTTAATTGCACTTTCTTTATGAATAAAGTCTTCTCTGAGTTGAGAGATCTTCAAATTTAATGCAAACTATTGCATAATAGAAAGAAAATATTGCAAAAATGGAGAAAGTTTGACACCAGCCAGGATGTCCAGACTGAGTTAGGTTATATAATCCATCTGGACCCTTCACTTCGCCCCCGAGTTCCTTGCTGACATGGGTCTGGGTATATGTACCCACTACTTTACCACAAGGGAAAATCTTTGGGAAGCAATCAAATCTAACACCTAGATATATGCCCATAGCTGAGGCACATAGCCAAGGCTATGTAATAACATAGGTTCTAAGCCATAAATAGAGGCAAACTGAAAACTTCTGTGTATTTTTGGGTGAAGGGGGATGTGGATAAGCAATATTATGTACACAAAATTTTTTAGCTGTAACAAACTAAATTAGGCAATAAATTTGTTCTGTAATGATTCCATTGTAGCAAATAACACATTGGACATCCAAACATTTCCCAATCTATTAATTTCGTTGTTTAAAAATAAAAGTGAAAATGAATGTAGAAGACAGAAGATATGATAAGCACGAAGTAACTAAAACTACTCAAGGGAAATACCTCTGTTCTTCCGGGCATGATAGGCTTCCCAGCAAACAATTCTGCAAGGATGCAACCAGCACTCCAGAGATCAATGGCAACTCCATATTCTGTTGCACCAAGTAAAAGCTCAGGAGCCCTATACCACAGAGTTACAACACGGCTAGTTAATGGCTGACTTTTGTCAGGCTGGAAAGAGGTTGCCAGTCCAAAATCACCAATCTTGAGAACTCCATTATCGTCAATTAGAAGATTTGAACCCTTGATGTCTCGATGCAGGATCCCACGACTATGGCAGTGTTCAAGTCCATGAAATAGTTGCTTCATATAGCATTTAATCTGCAGGCACAGCAAAAATATAATAAAATTTATATAGGAATAAACAACATATGCAGGGCAGGCAAGTAATTTTATTCAAATACATGGAAGCCAAGAAAAAGGACTAAGCTAATCAACGGTTTAGTGTTTCACAAGCTACAAGATGTTAGCAGTACAATAGCTAGAAAAGGTAAGTTGTCTATGTGACACTAAATTCCACATTGTGGTGTCACTGCCCTGAATGAGTGGATTTGGCTACATTTTTTTTTTCCCTATTCCCCCCTAGAATTCAAGATTGATTTGGCTATATGATGCAATAGTTATTTAAGAAAAGTGAACTCGAAGACAAGAAACTGCAATATCCTCGTACAAGTGAAGTGATGTCCCAGCCAAACAGAAATCCACTTGGATTCTCCAACCCACCTTTTGATTCTTCTCCATTTTCTGTTTAAATTGATAAGGTGTCATAATCTTATTTTCCTAACTTCAGTAGCTAATGATTCATATATTCTTTACTGTTGAGAGAGAGAGAGAGAGAAATTAATGATCCATTTTTATGCCTTTACAGTGAAAGAAGAGAAATTTTCAGGATATAAACAGCACTTATCAAATTGTATGACCACCCTTGCATTAACAGCTGATGAACATAGTGATTGATTAGTAACTCTTAATAGCAAATTATAAGAGGAAGAAGAAGTACCTGTGGTTCAGTGAACTTGATCTTGGGTGAAGCTGCAAGCCCAGCAAGATCATGCTCCATGTATTCGAATATAAGGTACAAACTGCATGACATCCTAGAAGTGACTAGACCCTCGAGCTTCATCACATTTGGGTGATCCAGTTTACGCAAAATATTGATTTCCCTAGCCATAAAACGGACACTTTCTGGATCCATATTAAGAAAACGGACTTTCTTCATTGCAACAATTTTACCAGTTTTCAGGTCACGGGCCTTATACACACTGCTGTAAGTTCCTTGTCCAATCTGCATAAATAGTATACCAGTTAAATTCAAAATATAAAACAGTTAAAGAGAAAGAAAATCAACAATTAGTTTGCCACAACAATCTAAACTTCCATAAGTACATATTTCAACTTTCTTTTGGATTTAAAAACTCAGAATTATCTATTTTTTCATCAGGGTTTAAAGTTTAGGTATTGTGAACAGTTAATTTTTAGTACCATTTTCACCCCTTTCAACTCCATCAAGTCTCTCATTGGAAGATTTTAGTTGATCTGAGACCAAGATGTTGGCTCATTTGAAGTAGAAAACAACTCGCATTAAGAATGACAAGTTCATTGCCTGTGCTATTAATCGACAAGTTAAATACATTCTCAGTATGACAAACTCTCATGCTTCAACTGAAAATGTGATAGACGAGGATCCTGCTGCTGACTCAACTAGTTAGAAGGCATTAGCAACATTGAATATAAATTGAGGCATTGATAACATTCCAAATTATCTTCTATTCTTGCTTTCCATAAAATAATAAGAGCGAGGTAACTAACAACATAAATTGAGTGCGGAAAATTGTTTTATTTTCCTATAAAGATAAGGGTCTCTACCCAATGTGGTCCCCTTAATAGATTGGACACTGACCTAATACAAACTATAGTATCACAGAAATGTTGTTCCTTTCACTCATTTTCTGCATAGAAATTTTTTATATTTTGTTACAACAACTTAGTGGATTGTCATTTTTTATGAATATATTTAGTCATGCTGATAATAATTGAGTTAGTTATCTTTTATTTATTTTTAAATTTTGTTTTTTGGGCTTTCCCATGCCATTTGAAGCAACATTTATGAAGCTAAGATCCCTCCAGTGTTCTTCATAAAAAATACATAGGAGTGAAACCTTTCTCAAAATCAACTTCATCATAATCAAATCAATCAGAAGGCTGTGTTTGTTTTACTTCGTAATGTTTTTTGAAAAATATTTTTCGGATTTGTAAAGTTGACGATCACGATGGGTGAGTCTCTAGCTCTCAACTTAGCTAACCCAAGCAGTAGTGAACCCTTTGTCTATGTATTTTCTCTACACAAACTCAAAAAAATTTATGAGGAAAACATTGTACAATGCAACAAACATGGCCTAAATGAATGTACCATAATATTAAAGTGAGTATGCAGGTTTGCAAAGTGATGTGATCAATCTTTGGATAGAGCAATCATCATCTAGTAAAAGGAAAAAAATAAAGCCGGCTCAGTATAATTTGAGGCCACAAATGAAAATTATAAAAGTTGCCTTAATCAAATAATAGTTAATAATGTTTATTTATAAAATCATCCTCCTTGCTTTTTTGAGATGCAAAGTTACTAATATTGAGATGTCCAAAAATACCAAAAGATTTGAGAGAATAAAGAAAACAAAAGCATAAAAATACCAAAAGATGTGAGAGATTAAAAAAAAAAAAAAAAAGGAGATGGAGTGAGATAGTGAGGGAGAGATAGAGAGGATTTCGGTTCAGATAAAGAGACTGTAATGCAGAAAAAAGATGAGTGAGGAATAAGGATAAAAATTAGGAGTTTAATAGATATGGTACGAAAGTGGAGAAAAACTAGGGGTTTATGAAAAGTTTTATCACTTTCCAATACCAATTTTTCAGCTAGATATGAATAAATATAAGATGAATTATATTGTGGAACCCACTATTAATGAATGCTATTGCCTTTTGGTCATAGCCTAGGAATATAAGATGAACAAAAAAATTTAAGGGCCCAAAATTAATCAATTCTATAGATTGGGGCCTTAGGGCCTAAGGCTCCAGTCACCCTCGGAAAGACATTCATCAGAATCATTGTCAAAATTTGAGAGGCCAATTTTGAATATCACCCATCATGTGTACTAAGTTTCAAGAATGCAGGTTGATAATTAAAGAACTAAAATTCATGATCCTCAGGGTGTACCATTTAAAAAGTGGTTAAGAAAACAAATAAAATCAATACTAATAATAATTGGGCAGGTAATTAAATTTTAATTATACGCAGTAATGCAGATCCAACAAAATTAAACACACATAGCATGAAAGAAGAAACAAGTGAAGAAGAAATAGAACTGACTTTGTTCAACTTCTCAAATGACTCTGCACTTCGAGGAACCCATCCTTGGATGGCTTCTCCTGCAACTGAAGCTAGCCATGCTGGCCATCCTGCAAGAAGTTGTTCTCCTTTGGCAGCATGTGGCATGCTAACTATCCAAGACATGGTTTTATGTCCCCCATTGACTCCCAAATCCATTGATGCCCGTCTACGATGATGCATGGGTCCTTGTCCTTCAACAATCTTCGTTTTTTTCTCCTCCTCATTGTTTGAAGCAGGAACAGAGCCCACATTGGCTTGCAAAGCCGGCTTAGATATAGGATGAACAGACACATCAGTCCCAACCTTATCTACCTCCACTACAATCTCCTCTCTCTTGGAGGGGGCAATCACCTGTTCTGAAGATTTGTTTTGCTCTTTCTCTCTTTCAGTCTCAGCAACATAGTCATTTACACTGGTTCCTTTGCAGCAAAGACAGCCCATTCTTTGCAATCACCTGTTTGTTTTGTGAACACAGATTAGGTTAGGTTAGGTTAGGTTAGGTTAAAAACCCCAAATTCCGCCTGCTCAATTAACCTTTACAAACCCCAATTCTCCAATATATATTTTTGGGGAAGCCCAAATTTCCAATCCCTTGAATTTCAACAAACAGATGAATATTGTTCATGATAATTTTAAATGTGGCGTGCCACCTCTCAGATACAACCAATCCTTAACAAAACTACATTTGAAATTAAGAATTTATTTCTTCAATCTACTCCTACTTGGGTAATTATATATATATATATATGGAGAAAAGCATACATCAGAATATCTTCAAACAATTAACGTACCTTTTGAGCCACAGCTTCCATCAAATGTCAGAAACGGTGATTCCTCCCAAAAAACAAAAACTTGAACCACATTTGGTAGAGGTCATAAAGAAAAATCCAACTTGAAAATCATATGCATACAATGTAACAACAGCAAGGAATTTTTTAAGGAAAGAGACCCACTATGAAAAACTTCAAAATCTTCTGTTACAATTAACAAGAAGCCAATATCAACAACTGAATGAAGAGAAATTTACAAGAGAGAAAGACCAAAACAGCACTATAGGCGACAAATAAAACAAATTTTATAAATGTGTGTGTATATATATATATGTATATATGTATATAATAAAATTGAAATGTACCTTTTGAAGGCAAAGATGAAATAGTTAAAAAAAAAGTTATTAACAACAGACAAAGAAACAGAATATTTGAGAAAAACACAAAACCAGAAGGCTCTAAAAGATCATTAAACAATCAAAACCAAGACCAGAAACCCAGCATTCAAACTAAAAGAAAAATATATAGAATTCAAAATCAATATATATGTATCCGTATATATTATTATTTTTTGATTGATGCGGGAATTCTGGTCGAGGTGGGTACCTAACAGGCGATTCTGGGTTCCAAAAATTTTCTCTCTGTTGGATATTCAAACGGTTATATCCATTACCATTGTTAACAAAACTAAAAATATATTTTTATTTTCAAAAAAAAAAAAAAAAAAAAAAAAAAAAAAAAAACGGAGAAAAAAAGTGACTGTACAAAAAGGAAATGGAACGAGAGAGAAAGAGAAGACAAACGGAAAATTCAAAATGAAAAAATAAAGAAATTAGAATAAAACTGAAATTTCTCAAAATTGATTGGAATGTGGAGGGAGAGAGAATTGCGGGTTGTTGGTAGTCCCTAAAAATGCGAGTGACCGAACGGTTTTTAGGTTTTTACAGATTGTATTGGTTGCGATTGCACAAAATAAATAAATAAATGAAGATGTGCAGTACTTGAAGACACACACTCTCTCTCTCTCTCTCTCTCTCTCTCTCGCGTAGATGAAACATGAAGATGATCCACCTCACCTCCCGTGTTTACATTTCACTCGAGGACAGTGGAAGGAGGATTGCCAAACGACGTGTTGTGCACTAAGAGTGGGTCCCATGTACAAACCCAACAAAATATTTGATTGGATATGGTACTTTTACTACTCGATTTTAGTTGCAAAAATAAAGAATTCTTAATTTGAGGACCTGTTTGGTATGTAAAGCGGGTTGGATGTTTATATGGCCATTTTTTTTTTGTCCAAAATATATTTGGGGCGGCCTATTATGATTTCAATAATGTTAAAACATATCTAATTTTTGGAGCAAAACTTGATGCACCATGTAGGTGTTTTAGAATGTTTTGGCACTATTAGCCCAAAACCAAACACCATAGCGGAGGCTCAATTTCTTGCAACTTAACGAGCTCCTTTCTAAGTGTTTAGAAAACAAACTTTGTAATGCGAGAGGTACCTTCGCAAAGTCAAAATATGAATGTGGTTTCGAAAACCTTTCTAGTCAAATTTACATTTATAAAAACCACTACTATAACTAATGAAATATAGCGAGTAAGGATCGTTCAAAAAGATTATACGTGTTAGAATTTAACTTCGACTCTAATGTACCAAATGATTGCAAAGAAATGTTGGTTGATTGATTACTCTAGAGAACAATTAATTAAAATGCAATTAAAATAAACTAAGTTAAGATATGGATTTAAGAGATGAGAAGTGAGGTCTTGGGATCCATTGGAATTGCCACCAAGCTTGTTCACCAAACCACACACTTTCAACTAATTTGGGAAAAATATTATTGTGAACAAAATACGACTACTAATTGTTATATTAAGCATGGACCATCAAATTCATGTATGAATTGTCTACCTAACCGACAAATAAACTAAGTGTAACACAACCCATCAATTTTAAGTATGACCCATCAAACTAGTCACAATTGTAGCACAGATCAATCTAGAGAATCGTGGAATTTGCAATAATAAGCCATGGAATATCAAATCAAGTAGAGATTGTCTACCTACCTACAAGCATGAATTAAATTGTAGAACAACCTATCAAGCATAAGCATAATCCATCAAATTAATTGATAAACCCATCTAATAAAAGCCATGTCTAACCATCACTAGATTCTCAATCAACCATATATATACATGCAATTAATATATAAAAACTAGTGTAGAGATCAATTTCCAAATAATCATACATAAGACAACATGTAATCACATAGAGAATCAATAGAAAGAATTAATCCATAGAAATCAAAAGAGAACCCAAGATTCATTAAATTCACAAGGCTAAAACACTAATCACAAGATATTATTCCCCAAAAAGTATGAAAGAGATAGAGGTTTTCAAGCCCCAAGGAGAAGTCTAGCCAATCATGGAGGAGGTAGGTGTGATCTTGGAACCCTCAAGGGCAATCCCCAAACATGGCTCCATCTTTTTCCTCTTCTTCTTTGTTGAATTCTAGAGAAAGTGTGTGTGTAGATCTTGAGATGTGTAGATCTTTTCTTCTAACCCTAATCTCTAATTTTTCTAGAGAAAGAAAATAAAATTACAATGAAATAAAATTGAAGACAAAAGTTATATTACAAAAATAGTTCAATTAATCTATTATAAGCCTTTTTGAGTAGGCACCAAGTCAGAAATATAGCCTATAATTGGAGGAAATTCACAGCTACCAAAGTTAGGTAAAGTCCGGCGCACTCAGGAATTAGACAGCACACTGCCAACAGTAATCTCGATTGATCAAACACTTAGCTTTAATCGATCGAAACTGACGTGTCATCAAAATTATCTTTTTGGCCTTATCCACTTTGTTGAGCTAGCACCGCCTAATTTCGATCTATTGTAGCTGAATTCGATCGATCGGGACTTTCTTCGATCGATCGAAGTTCTTCTGGTGTAATTTTCTTGACTTCTTTTCAACTTTGCTCTTTAGTTCCAAAATTGAGCTAAATGGCTCTTACTAGCCTGTTTGAACTTTATTGACCTAAAATAGGCAAAAAGACAAATAAGTACTAAGACATGAAAGTAAGATAGATGAATGGACTAAAATACCCTAACTTAGGTGCTAAAATACGTCACATTTGAGCACTTATCACACCCCCAAACTTAGATAATGCTATTCCCTAACAATGAACTATAAGAAGAAGAAATAAATAAACAACTAAGTAACTATGAACTAAAAAGTAATGAAATGAGAACGCCATTTTCATAGGGAACACGATTGCATTTAGCATATGCAACAAGCCTTTTGAACCCCTAGGTTACCCCTAGTGAATGAGTGAAGTCTCGTGAGGGTTTCCAGAAATGATACCCACAAACATTGGGCTCTTTCTCACTAAAGAAACACTAATATACAAAACAAGTATTGAAAGAAAACTACATCAAATATGCAATTTTTCAATCATTTCCAAGTAATTTCCCAAAATCTCAATATCAAGCAAACAAGTATGGTCCTCCACACATCAAGATCATGATCATGCAAATTAAAACAACTCTAGAATCGTTTTGAAGTGAACCGGCATCAAATATGTTGCCATCTAAGCTAACGAAAGAAATGATCACATCCAGCCTCAAACTAGTACACAAATCTAGTACCGATCATCAAAATAAAGAATGAACCTTTTATTAAAGCTTTATTAAACTAGGTGCGCTTATTCTTTTCATTTGATTTTTTTTTTTTTTTAACTAACCTAAAGGATCAAAGATGGAAGCATGGTGCAATGTAGTGATCTATTAAGCTCTCTAGCAATCCATGAGGTCGAGCGTTAGGTCAATAACTCCCAAACCAGAAGCTTTAGGGCATCAGGTGTTTAAACACCCCTAAGGACTTACAAGCTCAAATCAACTAGATTACAAATTAAAACAACCTCCATCTAATCATTTCTCACTTCTCACCTTTTAGGAGAAGTCCTCATTTTTTTATTTGCTTTTGTAACTTTATTTATTTATTTTTTTTGTTTTTTAACCTAGAGTTTGGTCCCTTCACCTTTCGGCGTGAGAAATTCAGTGCTTGATGAGGCTAAAATCCCGGCTACTCAATGAAAAGGGTTTGTTAGCCACTTCTATCAAGATGAAAGATTTTAATGCACTACTAGCTCAATTGGGATATAATAAAATCAATAGTCAACAAAGCATGTACCTCATAAATGAATGTTAGTGTGCGCCTATGCTAGTGTGCGCCTGTGCTAATGTAGAATCCTAGAGTGAATCTAAAAAAAATCACAAAATCAAGATGATGTGGACTACAAATGCAAGCAAAATATCAATCTTTTGAAAAATTTACTCCTAAATGGCATCCACAAAGCATACAGGAGTATTGGACTCTCAAGTCAAGCAATTTTTAAATTCTAAATATCATAGTCCTCAAAAGATCAAAATCATAGCTCAAGACTCTCAAATCATACCATATGCTTAGAAAGTAAGTACGACATGTAAAATATGATAACACACACCCAAACTTAATCTATGCATTGTCCTCAATGTGCAAAGAAGCAACAGATAATGGAAAGAACATACCAAATGGGTGAAGCAAAAGGGACCCGACAATGGAAGCTTAGCTTTGGAAGGCGCACCCCCAAACTTAGATTCTGAAAGCCTGTCTGAAAATGGTCACACTAGCAACTATCAAAGCATATGCATCAATGATGTAAATGAGAGGTGAAACTGAGAATTGGGCAAAAATCATGGCATCTAGCAATGTAAAACTCAGTATATCCAAAACTGAAATCAAAATCTCAAAAATATTCATCTATAGTAAGTAAATCCAAAACCAGATATCCAAAGAGCAATGTATAGCAGTGCAATGCAAAAAAATAATATCCAAAATATCCAAAACCAGTGCAAGTGTCAAAATAGTGCAAAAATATCTCAGTAACAACAATGTATCAGATAATAAGTAGAAAAGAGATAGAGAATAATGGAATTAGGTAGTAGGATCTGGAGTCATCATATCAGCAATGTGCTGCAGCATATTTGACATTTGATTGCTGTGGCAAGTGAGAGAAGCGGCAAGGTCAGTTCGCAAAGCGCCAAGCTCATGCCTTACCTCGGCTACATCTGCTCTCAAGTCATCGGGTCGCTTGACTAAATCATCGTGCCTCCCCACCAAGTCGTTATGTCTCCTCACCAGATCATCATGCCGCCTCGTGACATCCTCGTGCTGGTCATATCAGCTCTGAAAGAAATGAAGTCTGTGTGTAGCAGAGTGACCTCAAATCTATAGCTAGAATCAGTACTGGTATGGTAGGATCGAGTGTCGGTCTGTGCTATTGGCTCGGTGGGAGGGACATGAGAAGGGTCAGCCTACTGAGATGCAGTAGGTACATCTAGCTGTGAGGTAGAACCTGAAGTGGTAATGCGACGCCTCTATCTAGGGGGAGATCTATCTGCAACATCATCCTCTAGAGCTGCCTCTTCTGTTGTTCTCTGCTGCTCATGTTGTCTTTTCATATCCCTGTTCTTCCTATTCTTAAGACAAGAATTGTAGGTCTTTGTCCACCTGGCCTGATCATAGGCTCTCCTCTCTCTATGGGTCAAACTGATAACCCTGATCTTCCTGTTCTTATGGATGAGCTCCAACTCAGGAATCCATCTAGTGGACCCATAATAATAAACCCAACTGAAGCAACTGAAATTAAACATAATTCGAAACTAAAACATAAAGAGAATCTTACATAGAACCGGAAGAGTGACATGGACTGTCTCTGCTCAGCACAAACAAGCTCTATGTTAGAAATTGACGAACACCTGAAAAATAATAATAGTGGGTCAGGCCCACGAACAAGGTCTTTCTACGATAACCCAAACAGAGACCGGAGAAACTATATATCTATAGTTAACCCATGCAATAACTATATAGTCCATAATACATATGCATATTAAAGGAACCTCACTAGACTATAGGGTTGCCTCAACCTGAATAGTAGGCAACATGTAAAATGCACATATAGTGGGCATGAGTACCTAGACCTACCAGGGCACACAACCACACTATATCTAGCTACACATCCCTGGCAATATACGCACCCTATCCACTGAT